TCAACAACAACATCAGCATCATCATCATCATCATCATCATGAGCATCATCATCATTAGTGCGTCATCATCATCATCATCATCATCATCATCATCAACAACAACATCAGCATCATCATTATCGTCATCATATACTCATCATTATGATGATGAGTACTATCATCATTATTAGGAAGGTTGATGAGGGGGAGGGGGAGAGCCCAGCTCTGCAGGGGTTTCATTAGGTGGGTGGTGAAACCCTGGAGGGGGCACAGGCAGATTGTGAGGATTACTCTTTTCTGGGGCTGGGCATCAAATCCCAGCGGGGGCAGATTAGGGTAAAGGGATAGACAGGGGAGTGGAGAGAATGAGGAAGGAAGGGAGAGTAGGGATTTTTTATGAATCATCTCATCAACAAAATCTTCATCATCATCATCATCATCATCCATGTTATATCATGCTTTCTGGTGTGTTGTAATTCTCGGCGGTATCTGGCCTCCTTCCGTAATCGGGATAATGAGATTTTAGAAATGATTGAATCTGGACCGATATCTACAAAGTTGCTTTTTTGTCTTTGCCCCTGGTTTGGCGATGCCAGAACGACGCTGGCCGGTGCTGGGGCAGTGCCCTGTAACCTGCAATTTGGCAGGAGTGTCAGGCCTCGTAGAGAGATCTGGGGATTTGCCGAGGGAGGAAGGCAATCCAGTGGCGAACCGGGGGGGCTGCCTTGACAACCTATGGGGCCAGGGATAGTCTAGGTGGCGAGAACAGGTCAGCTATGGTAGACATTGGTAAGGAGGGTATTGTCTCTGAGATGTAATGTCCTGGTGCAGGGAGGGCTGGGAAGGTTCGAGGATTAGGAGGCCAGAAGTGCTGTTATAACATAGTCTTTTATATTTTCTATATTTTCTATTTACTAATCATCATACTAATCATTATCATAATCATCATCATCATCATCATCGCATCATTTGATTCATTAGTATCAACATCTGATTAATGATATATTAAGCTTTTTGGTGTTCTCAAATTTTGACAGCATCTAGCATTCTTCCACATTTGGAATATAGGACTTCAAAGATGATTGAACCTGGACTAATATCTACTGAGTTGCTCTGTTCTGTGCCCTTGGTTTGCCGATGCCAGAACGACGCTGGCCGGAGCTGGGGCGCTGCCCTGTAACCTGCAAATGGCAGGAGTGTGAGGCCTTGTAGAGAGATCTGGGGTTTGCTGAGGGTGGAAGGCATTCCAGTGGTGAACCAGGGGGGGCTGCAAGGTGGCGAGAAGAGATCAGCTAAGGTTGAGGTTGGGTAGGTTGGTTTTGTCTCTGAGGTACAGTGTTCTGGTGCAGGGAGGGCTAGGAGTTGTTCTAGGATTAGGAGGCTAGAATAGCTGATATAACATAATTTTTTACATTTTTTCATACATTTGAATCTAGCATCATTATCTGTGGTATCATCAGTATCATCAGGATCATCATCATTACTATTTGAGGGACGCTGAGCCCGGTTCTCAGCAGTTTTCGGTTTGATCACTCCGGGTAGATTGTGAGGACCCCGGCCTCAATCTGATTATTGGTAATATCAAGCCTTGGGCACCGGGCCCGGTTAAAAAATAAAATAAAAAAAAAATAAAATAAAAAAATTGTATGTGCGCAGTTGGGCCAAACTTGGGCGGCTATGAGCCTATGGCCGCCGGCCAACAACAACCAGGTATGAACTCTCTCTCTCTCTCTCTCTCTCTCTCTCTCTCTCTCTCTCTCTCTCTCTCTCTCTCTCTCTCTCTCTCTCTCTCTCTCTCTTCTTTGCGCCTCCTTGGACCTTTCCCCTCTTTCCCCCTTGACCCCCTCTGCTCTCCATCTTCTTTTCCTCCTCTTGAGAGCCTTGCAACTTAAACCACCAGTACATCCAGGCATGGTGGCCTTCTACTGTGTGCCAGGCTTTACCGAACAGCCAGCGGCGCAATTCTTTTGTGGCTGGCGTCGCCACCCATTGTGGTCTGGGAGGCCCGAGCCTCTCCACACGGCTGAGGCCATGTACTGGCAGCTTAAAACACCAGTACTTGAAGAAAAACACG